GCCTCATTTCAGAGGCAATCTTGGGAAGAGACACAATGAAATTATTGGCTCAAATGTCAAAATGTCCCATGAGGAACAGAAAAAAGATGGTGAGAGTTGGACAGTGAAGAAAGCAGATAGAAAGAACATAAACTCATCTGAAATATGGTTCTGGAGAAGAGTGCTGAGAATACCATGGGCACCCAGAAAGTCAAACAAATGAGTACTAGAGCAGATCAGGCCAGGGCTCACCCAGGATCACCAAACTGAATCTCTCATACTTTGCCATATCATGAGAAGACATGTCTCATTGGAAAAGACAATAATGCTAAGAAAGGTGGAGGGTAGTAAAAAGAGAGGAAGGCCGCATACTAGAAGTATATATTCAATCAAGGGGACTATGGTCCTGAGCCTGCGGGACCTGATCAGAGCAGTTGAGGATAGGGGGGCTTTGAGGTGTCTCACTCATGGGGTCACCATGAATTGAAGTTGACTCAAGGGCAATTCACCATCACCATCACCACCACAACTACCACCACCAAATCCCTAGAAATTAAACAGGCACTAGATGAGAACATTAGTGAGTAATATGGGGGAGAGGCACTTGTACAACAAGTAGCATATTTCTAACAGTTTTTTTAAAAAAATATTTTAAATATTTAAAATATTTGAATGCAGCCCTTAATCAAAATTCATTCTGCAGTGACTTACAATATAAGCCCACACTAGAAATGAGCCACAAATAAATAAAGCAGATAAAGTTTTTTTTAAAAAAGTACTTAAAATGCTTTAGTAAATTTTAAATTGTAAAGGTGGGAAGATTTTATTTGATTTTTTGCCTGGCACCTTAAAGATAACAATGATGGCCCCAAGGATACCTCTCTGCAGATAAAATACCACAAATGGTACATTATGGCCCAATTCCCAAGTTGATAGCAGCTTCAACTCTAATCCTGACCATAGAATTTAGGGACATTAATTATTAGAACAGATATGCCTTCAGATATCTGGTCCCAACTCTACTTAGAAACTTTAAAGGAAAGCCTCAGCACTTTGAAATAGGTTGTGAAGCAAACAGGCTGCTGTTTTAAAACTGATTAAATTTTATCTGTAGAAGCGTTACCATTTAATGTCCTGTGTGAACTTTTTTCCTGAACTAATTGAACCTTGCAAAAGTCAGCCCCACATGCTATAGCGTAATAATCCAACTGGGAGATTGCTTTTCAAATGACACAATTATAGCACTATGATTCCATTTAAAATTCCCATGGCTCCATTCCACGGAATCCTAGGATTGTCCGTTTTAGCAAGGGCATTTATAATCCTCACCCAGAGAGATCTAGTGCTTCACCAAAGTACAGGCCCTAGAATTCTATAGGACACAGCCATGGTAGTTAAAAATGCGGTAATAGTGCTATAATTATGTAGCATGAAAGGGCCCCAGGAGCAGTTGCAACTGGCAAACCCATCATGGTTTGGAATAGGTCTTTTGTTCCAAAAAATCTGGCTCCTCGTGAGAGATCTGGATCCCAAAGAACACTCAAGTTGTAAAACCTATCTTTCAGGTGAGGTTTGAAGCGTATCCAAAACAGATAGTCTGTAAACATGGAACGTTTTTCATAAAGACTTTTACAGCTGACATGTTGAACATTCAGAAGATTTAAAATGGTGGTGAGAGGTAAGTTCTAAAGGAAAAGATCCCATATCCTTTCAGTTTTAAGTTATGTTCCAAGATTTATTCATATTAAGCAACATTGTTTCATCATGTTGGCTAACAATGCCCTAACACACACACACACACTTATGTGCATGTGCATGCACATGCATGCACAGAGATTGGGAGAGAGAACAGTCAAGCACTGGTTCTTAAAATATATCTGTTTACAAGGATGAAAATTACACTTCTGTAAAAATTAAAGTGAGCATGGCAGACATAATACTTCTATTTCCCCTGCTCCTCATATCTTTATCTTGACAACCAATTGCCTTACATCATCTGTATGTACTGCCAAATCTGACTAATTTGGATCTTAGCCCCTTCATCCCCCATTCTCTCAAGGGAAAGAACAGGAACAGGCCTCAAGTTTTCAAGTTTCCTCTGATCCAACTCCATTCAAGCTTTTCTCACAATCAGAAAATATGAATGCCTAACTAACAGTCAACATTAAGATATCTGAACACAGGATTATCTTGACTACTGAAAATTAAACTTACCTCTCCTTGGAAAACAAATGGCAGAGGAACAAGGATCCATCTAGGCTGTTTGAGATGATATGGCTTACCCACAGTAAAGTTTCAGGGGTGGTTCATGTTATCTTTCTTCCTGAGGCAAAGGACAAGATTCTGCATGCCATGTAAAGGAGCAAATTGGAATTTTACTTCAACACGTGATGGTTCTAAGAGGAGTTAGCTTGGGCAGTGGTGGACAGGCTGTGTAAAATACCCCATTTTGCTGGTAGTGGTCCATGATCTCTATATCAGCAGTGTGGTGAATCCACGCTTTTATTCCAGACCATAAAGCAGCTATCTAAGGTGCTTAGCACTATTCCCAGTACCTTGGATAGCTCCTTCAAAAGTTTAGAATAAGTGGGAGTGCCAAGAGGCAAAAAGATTTTGGGGAAAAAAATGATATTATAAGAGAGATACTGGGTGTGTATATACAGAATAGACCTGAAACAATGTTATTAAATATGATAGAGGACAAAATAGAAAAATCACATGGCAAGACTATTTTTTATATGTTAACAGCGGCTAGGATTATATACGCCAGGTATTGGAAAGTGAAAAAAATGGTGCAGATAGATGACTGGATAATAAAACTGTTTGATATGATTGAAATGGATATACTGTCTAAAAAATTAAATGAAGTAATGAAGAGACAAGAGAAGGAAGAATGGAGGGAGGTGATAAGGTATGTGAAACAGAAATGGCCGAATCTCCTAATAGAAGACTCTATATTAAAGGAATGAAGATTGAAAAAGAAGATCCAAATATATGGGATATATAGTATATGATACACGACACATAGTTAAATATATAAGTTAGAAATAAGGATATGTATATAA